ACCCCAACTGTGGAACTGGTACAAGATGGAGCAGAACGATTCCGGAAATTTCCTTCACCCATTGGACTTGCTTTTTCAACTGCTGCAGCTAAAATTGGGAAAAGAAGAGAAAGCATCAAGTCAGAGGCTGGTTATTTGATTATTTCCTAAAGGTTTCCAAATAAGTGGTGACAACATTCAGCTGTCTGTGAGGCTAAGCCATGTCGTGAAAGAAAAGAAATTATCATGCACTGCATGCAATTTAAAAAGAGAAGGAAAGAAAAACATAGAAAGAAATGCTGGGATGGAATTCTTTTGGAAGAAAAATGGCATTCCTGCAAAAGAAAATGTTGATGCAGTGTAGCTACACACACAATGATTGGTTATAAAGAAAAAGAAAAAGCGGCAGAGCATTAAAAATTATCTGCTGTAAGAATGTATTATTACAAGGAGAGTGTGAAAGTTGTTTTATTTCCTAGTACAGTTTTTCCATCTTTTTCAGACAACTTCGTCATTGTCAACTTGTAGATAAACCTTATGTTAACTAGTTGTAACAGGCTTTCTTCCCCCAAACCTTTTCAACTAAACAAACTCATAATTCTAAAAACTTAACAAATGACCTTGGCTGATAGTTGACTGTTTATAAAATTACATAAATAGTAACAGTTACCATTTATTAAATAACTACTGTAAGCTATTAAATCATTGCTATGTTATATATCATCCTTACAACAACCCAGCAACATAGGTATTATTAACCCCATTTTACACATGAGGAAACTGAGGCTCAGAGAAGTTCAGTAACTTGCCCAAGGTCAACAGCTATTAAAATGAAACTTATGGGATTCACATCTAGATCTGGCTGGTTCCATATCCTGTGTTCTTTCCTCTAAAACATATTCCCTCCCCCTTTAATGTACTGTAAACTATTTCACTCCAATACATTTACCTCAAAGTCTACCAAAGTACATGGAGTAAAAATAAAGAACGTAATTAATGAGTCTGATTCTAGCAGTAAGAGAAGAGTCAACTACTTCCTCTCTAGAAATGCCCCATTCTTTTAGCCCTCTGAATATCATACTTAGTAAACTGACATACACCATATGCTAAATAGTACCTTGTGTCCTGGAAGAATATTTCTTCAAAAGAAGAACTATTAATTTCCTTCTAACTAGAAGGACATAATATCTATTTTATACTTGTAAGAAAACCTTCACAAAAAGTTAAAATTTTAAAACACCATTACGTAGTTAAAATTACTAAATCTACATACAAGCCCTTCAATAACTTTTGCTAAATAACCATTAGAGTCTGCAGCTTTCACACTCCAATATATGACTGATTGGCAATGTTATTACTGGGTAGTAAGGTCTAGCCTTCACCACTGGGGAAATCAGGGATATGCTTCTCAGATCATCATCACAATGTGGTAGAAACATCCGCCTACTTGTCTTAATTGATCCGCGCCTTATGGTCTGAGCTTTCAGTTTAATGAGCTCTATCCAGCTGCTGCATCTGTCTGCAAAGGAACTGTAATCAACTGACGTTGCTGAAAACATAGACAGAAAACAAAAGAAAAAACAAAGAAAAAATATGGATGACGTCTCTTGCTCGTCATAACACTCCTTCCGATGATGTAATTTAACTGTATAACTTAGAAAAAAGAATGGTCCTTTTTCAAGTCAGATAAGAGGGATAGCAAAGAGTCAAGCTTTAGACACTGATTTGTCCAAAACCAAGTTCTCAGTTCGCTGGCTGAGCTTTTGTGGCAACGTCAGTGTGGAGTCTCTTACGGAGAGCATAACTGGGGTCTAATGTAAACATCAATGAAACGACCACACACTGTGCTTTAAAATAATTTTATTTACCACTATTTTACTTTACAATGGTTTAGGACTTTGATTTACAATCCAAAATTTGTGACTATTTCCCTTCCCTATTTTTACTCTAAAATAAAAAATGAAAATGAGAATCAGATGATGAATATACCAAAAAAAAAAAAAATCACTAGTTGACTTAACTTTTATTAAAAACACTTTTCCACCATTACTAACAGGAAAGTCAAAGGGCCATGTTTTTGTCATTATTCTGTTTACATGTCTAATTTTGGCATCAAAGACAAAATGGGGAGGGAGGCAGGTGTGAGCCTAACAAGTCCCCCTTTTACAAAGAATAACTTTTGCTAAGTTAAAAAAAAATATTAAGAACCTAATTATTTTTAGAAACTGGGAAGCTATTAAAATACTAAAAAAAAAAACCTTCTGAAATACTAGCTTCATTAATTTTTTTTTTTTTTTTTTAATGCACTCTATCTACAACAAAGCCACATTTTGGTGTCTGTTCCACTGGCCAGTGCATTTCTTCAATGTCTCTTATTTATATGCACCACAGACCTAGAACTTCACACCTTTGGTGACTATTTGCTTAATTAGACAAACTCACCTCTCTGTGCAGCTGGTATACCTGAGTTAGAACTTGCACTCTCCAGGTGTTCTAATAAGACAATATGAACAACATTAGCTTGGATGCTAAGTACAAGCCAGTATCTCTTCTTTGCTGTTTGTTAATACCTTCTATGAGTCAGAATGGGAGGAAATTTTTATGGTTTCGTTAAAAAAGTAAATCAAATAGAAGTATTAGGTTTAAAATGCAGTTTCTATTATATTTGAAAACTAGTTCAGTTAATAAATATCATGCCAAAGAAAATTACTTGCTTACTATGGCACAAAAAGAGTTTTAGAAACTTCATAGTCATAGAAATTATAAACACAATAACATATGTTAGTAGGATAAAAGTAGGATGAGAGAAAACTGGGTAGAGAAAGAGTCAAAGTGTTTGAAGAAAGTCTGAAATGAAACATGAAAGGGAAATGTTTGGGGGATAGGGAGGCAGTAAGATTAGAAATTACAAAGTAATGACTGATGTCTCACAAACACAAGCTATTTATTAGCCGTGACCTTCCCTTCCCACCAACCACCACAAACTCTTCATTCAGACTTCACTATCAACTTCTCCCTCTAGTGGTATCAAGACTTTGTAGAAATAAAAAAAATGACTGCTCTCCACACAAATAACCAGGGAACTCCAAACTAGAATCATTCTCTTTCTAGTAACCTTATGAAAGTGGCATCTAGAATTTTTGTTTTTTATAGGCTTATTATACATATTTAAGGCACTGTACAAATTTAAACAACACAATAAAAAAAACTTCATAATCTATTTTTTAATGTTCAGGCTCTACTCCCTCTAGCATATTTGCATTTGTGTTTCAAAGAATTTTACAATTAATACTGTTGCCAAGTTAGAAATAACTAATGAAAGCCTCTGACAATAATCTGGGTTAGGTTTCTTAAAAAAAAATTATAAATTACATACACACATATTTTTGTCTCTATTTAATGTGCTGATCTTTGGGAAGATTCCTAAATTAATAAAAGTTAAACTTTTCAAAAATATGATTTGTACAGAAAGTTTCTGCCAAATGGATGTAATGAAAGTGCCCCCCTGTTCTTTTTATAAAGCAAGTGACCACTAGCTAATACTGGAGAGTATGCAGCAGTTGACATTCCTCCTATAGTACAGAGCTGTGGAAACAATGGATCAGTAGGTGAGCCCTGGTACAAACTTTGAGTGCTCTCACAGGTTGGTGGTTCGAACCCACACAGCGGCTCTGCAGGAGAAAAGACCTGGCAATCTGCTTCTGTAAAGATTACAGCCAAGAAAACCATATATGACAGTTCTACTATGTCACATGGGTCACTAGGGGTTGAAAATCAACTCAATGGCACCTAACCACCACCAGTGAAGTCTACAAAATGCCTGCGAGGGCACCATGCAGTGGAAACGCCCTGAGACCGCAGACCCACAGACTGTAGTGAGTCCTCTAGACTCAGGATCTCGAGGGGCTATGGCAGCCCAGGAGTATAAGGAAGCTATAAAAAGACCAGGACAAACCTGAGATTTCAGAGGTTTACCAGATCTCTAGGGACAGCTCAACACACAAACACACCTGATGTAAATGCTGGGAAGAGCATTTGATCTACCCCAGGTTTACATATTCCAGGTGGTTCTCAGGGTTCTCATGTATCCCGTGCAGTAGACTTATTGGGTATAGAATTACAGAAAACACAGTAAGCATCAGGAATTCTGTGAAATTAAGAAAAAATGTGGAGGTAGGGGGAGAGGGCTAAAAAATTTTTTAGAATAATCATTAAAATGAAATTCCCTTCTATATCTCAATATTATCTGAGTTATGTGGAATTCCCTAGTAGCAATTTTATATACTGTAAAAGCAAAAAAACCACAAAAACAAACATATATAGAAAGCATTTGTTCCCATCTTTAAGCTATATCAAATTAAAAAACCAAGGTGCATAACAATTTGTAAAATATTTATGTTTAAATAACTTAAAAAAACAGAACATCTTTGCAAAGAAGACAATAAATTGTTAAGAGTTACTTGCTTCTTGGTAGGGATATGAGGGGAAAAGGGAGCTTTATTTTAGACTATGTAACTTTGGTGGTATTTGAGTTTTTCACCGCGTACATTTATTTTTATTGCTGGTTGCCATTGAGTCGATTCTGATTCATGGCGGCCCCATGTGTTACAGAGTAGAACTGCTCCATAAAGTTTTCTTGGCTAAAATCTTAACAGGAGCTAATTTCCAGGCCTTTCTTCCACAGACAGGGAGTAGTTTCAAACTGCCAATCTTTTAGGTTACCAGTAAAGTGCAAATTGTTTGCACCACCTGGGGACCTTTGTGCCTTTATTACTTTTCCAGAAAAAATTTTACAAAATGTGGGAGAGAGGGCAGACAGGAAGGAAAAATGTTCATTCTCTGCCCTCAAATATGAATGCATATAAATTAAAATCTATATAAACAAAGTTCTCGAATTGGAGAAATTCTTAGGGGAAAGGTTAAGGAAGAAGACTTTAAAGCACTGTAAAGAGATTTCACGTAAGGACAGCAGGTTCATCTTTTAACATGCTTGCTATGATGTTAATTTTTATCTTAGAGAAAAGGTCCAAAATGTGCTGATCCAGATCAACATCAGCACCAAGACTGGTCTGAAAACCTCAAATATCTAAAGGCCTCAGATTCTAAATCCCTCTGCTCCTCTGATTACACTTTGGCTTTCTGTGTAATATGCTCTTCAAATGAGAAAGCACTGCAGATGTAAGCAGTCTGGGTCGCTGGCAAACTGGTAATTCTCGCTAAAAAGAAATAAATAAAAGAATATGGAATCTCTAGGCTAATAGCCTTTTTTAAAAAAAGGCAGATTTTATTGTTCAGGGGTATAAATCTCATTTAAAAACATTTCAGGCTCTGTTGAGGAGTGAATGCTCAGTTGTAGGCCATTTGTATAACTACATAGAAGAGTTTGAGACACACACTTCATATATTAGGTCTCCATTCTAGCTGCAAAGAGTCTCAATCAACTACACAGCAGCCCATTTCTAATAATTTCCTTTCCCCTTTAGCACAAGAAAAGATTAATATGCTCTTTTAAAAAGTCATCGTTAAGTTATAACCCTGTTATTCCCAAAATAAATTACCTTAGAAAGAGGCAAACAAAGAATATGATTTTATTTTTCTCTTAGTGGGTTCAAACAATTTTCAGCAAGCCCTGTACCTGGGGGTGAGGGGTGGAGGGGCTGACCCAAGTTAAAAGCAGTTTAGTGGAAGTGAGCATATTGATGACAAAAGGGTCAAAATGTGACAAGAATTTTTTCCCCCTCAATTACATATTATCCTGTGCTTCTAAGTTTGAGATTTTGCCATTCACCTAAATAATTTGTCATAACCAATGACAAAGGTACTGGTTAGCTGTAATAAAATTCTAAACTGATCACTAACTCTTCTGACTACTTATTTTATATGTCATTAGAATCATTAAATAAATTTTAAAAATGTCTGACATAATTTTAACTGGATAACATAAAAAAATTACTAATATTTTGAAAAAATTCCTGCAGATTCTGAAAAGATTCTTAGATTAAAATATATGCAACCTCGACTCTATAATTTATTATTTATTTTCCTATGTAAATAATCTCAGTTTTAAGTTATTATGGTCAAATTTTAGTTTCATATTCCTTTGAGTATTTCTATCAATCTATTATGCATTGATTAGCTATATCCTATAACTATAAATGTTATCAGGAGGGATCAGTCCCTGGAGGACATCATGCTTGGTTAAGTAGAGGGTCAGCGAAAAAGAGGAAGACCCTCAACGAGATGGACTGACCCAGTGGCTGCAACAACGGCTCAAACACAGCAACAACTGTGAGGATGGCGCAGGTCCAGGCAGTGTTTCCTTCTGCTCTAAACAGGGTCACTATGAGGCAGAACTGACTCAATGGCACCTAACAACAACAACTTTAAAATAACGTGAGGTAAGTTGTTAAATTTAAAAAATTCTCTTTTAAAATAAAATTTGGTTTAACCAAAAGAAAAATTTTATAGCCTACAATAAAAACAAAGATTTAAAAAAAAAAATTCTGATGTGGATACCTAATTATGGAGAACAATGTAATAGGTGTATAAGTCAAGTTGTTTTCTTTTATACTGAAATCCTGATTTTGCCCTGTGCTTGTCACACTGGTTGGTTCTCTTCACACAGCAACAGTCAGCAGCTGCTGTGACGAAAAGAGCACTCCGGCCGTTCTCCAGCTTATGTCACTGAACATAAGATAATCAGCCCAGTATAAAGCAAAAAAAGCAGTAACAGGAGGTATAAAAACCATTCTTCTATACAGTTTCATCCAAGAATATATAAAAACAAAAACTCATCTAAGTAACCTGTTTTAAAGTGCGTTACCAGTTACTTTAAATGAAAACTATTTTCCTCATTATGATTAGATTTATAAAACGTTTGAGATATATTCAAAGTAGTATATGATTCACACACATTTGCCTAATATAATTTCTTAAGTCTTACAATGTGGTTATCTAATATTTAGGTCTTTAGACATTTATCTAAAGTAATACGTTAATCTTTTATAAAAAGTACATGTATATAACTTCTTAGATCAACTCCAGTGTATCAGAAAAATCTTACTAATCTTTTTTCTGTTGTTGTTGACATTTTTACTTTTAGGCTTGCAAAAACAGCAAAAAGTATTGCTTAATTATTTTCACCAAGAATCTCCATTTTTACTGTATTTGCTCTATCACCTTTTTCTATACATACCATTTTTTAAGTCTCCTAAAGACAGTTTCAGAGGAAAACTGAGGTGTGGGTACTAATGATGCGGAAAAAAATATTACAAAAGTGGTAGAAAAACTTGCTATAGCTGTTTTCACTCAGTAACACAGTGCCTTCCTATGAAAACAGTTTATGATGCTTCCCCATCATCTACGTTTCCCATAGTAGTCATCAAAGGATTTTGATTGCTTTTAAAGGATTTTAATATCCCTTAAAAAATTCTTTAGGCTCAGCATCTTTTCATACTTGAAAAAAATCAAGATAACTAGCAAGGTAATATCAAATCAACCATAAATCTGAGACATACATCAAAACTATTTTGTTACTTTGAGAAACAAAACCAGATACAACAAAAGACAGAAGGAAAAAATTGAACATGGATGGACAATTCAGGCCTAGGCTTACTCTATACAATGAATTAGGATACGTGTAATTGGAGAAACTTTTCAAGTAACATTCACCCATTTTCAGTAACATAAAAAGATAAGGAAAGGTTTATCTACAAGTGAAAAGATGGAAGTATTAATAAACACACTATGTTTTGCCCTTGAAACTACTCTCCCTGTCAACATGAAAGAAAATGAATTTTAACCATTCATCCTACTGTGATAAAAATATAAAAACTAAACTTGAATTCTGAGTTTTTTAATTAAAAAAAGAAAAAGTTCTATTAGCTGAGCTCACTGATTTAACAAAACTTCAAAAACTATGTATTTATTTACTTATCAATACTAATTGTTGACTATACTTTAAGCCTCTTATGGTTGCACAGAACAAAGCAGACAAGCCTTTTGAGCATTTATTCCAACACTCTTACCTTTATCTCCTGCCTGTCTCCTCTAAACTGCTATGCTTAACTTTTTCCAGACATCTCTACACTCGATTCAAAGCATTCCTTCATGTTTCAACACTCAATTACTATATTCTTCACAGATCTTTTTGAAATCCATCTTACCCTCAAATCTCCCAAAACAACTTGAGATAACTTTAAAAAATGTATTTAGTATAGCCCACGTCCTCCTCAAAGGACTTAAAGATGCAAAGACAATAAATAAGCATGAAACATAAACCACAATTTACAAAACTATTTACAAAAAGGTACAGATAAATTTTTTAGTGTTTACTGATGATTTTAAAATATTGAAGGAAAAATACATAAATTTTCAGGTAAACAGTGTACAAAGTTTTATACATATTAGTATCAGATGTGGTGGTATTGATGATGATAATGATAAAGGTGGCATGATCTGATTCAGTGGTTTTCAAACTGTTTAAAACCCTTTCTTCACTCAAAGTCACATGCAGAAGACCGATATGTAAAATCACACTGAATTGAAGCTGCTCTAGTTCACAGAAGTAGGGGGCCTAGAGACCTACCCTTTCACTACTTATCTCCCCTCTCACTTTGCCTGCTAGAAGTCCAGCAGGCATCGCTGAAGAACTCCTATGGCTCTGAGGAGCAAATTTTAACATGTTGGTTTAACTGATTAGAAGCTATTTGGGAAAGCTGAATTTAATTATAGAAGCTCAGTGTGATGGCAGGCACTAATCTGGCTCTAATTTACTTTTTTAGTAAAATGAACGTGTTAATAATTGAAGAACCATAAACTACAGAAACCCAAGGAATCACAGAATTGTAAACGCCAGAAAGAATCGCAACATTTTCACATTTTTGTTTTTATATTCCAGATTAGGAACTGAGGCTTAAAGAAGTAATTTGCCCAAGTCCTCACACCTTATCAGTAGCAGAACTGAGAAGAGAACCCAGGTCTGTTGCTTTTCTACTCTATCACATGGCCCCTCTCTATGCTCCCTAAAATGATCTGCAAATATTTCAGGTACTACTCAGATATAACTTATTCTATTCAAATTCCTCTTTCCTTGTTCTTCAGTTTACAAAGTGCCATTTTGCACAAAATATACTAATGACCACAATAAGCACTGGTGATAATTACCTTTGAAAACATTCTGAAAGCTGTTGGCAGAAACTGTAAGTAATCAACACAGATAAGGCAAACTTAGAGTTTACATAAATCTCATCTGCAGAATTAACAACATAGTAAAATGTTGTTACCAACACAGTAAAGTACAGCTAATAGGGATCCCAAATCTACAATACCAATTTCTTTAGATTAGCATTTAATCACATATTTTTTGTTAGGGTTTTTTCCCTTAGATTAGGATTTCCCCACCCCCCACCACCGCAGGGTCACAATAAACTGAACGATACTTAAAAGTGATTTAGAACTAACACTGCATTAAATACAAGCTTCTGTGTAAAGTAGATGTTTAAAAAAAGTAAGCTTGTTATCTAGGAGCTAAAGGAAGGTTCTTGATAGTTCTACTTTCTATTCTAGAAGCTATATTTAATTTATAAATCTGACTCAAAACATCTTTAAATATGTTTTTCCATCTCTATTCTTCCAAGAAAGTTTAGGTGTGCTAAAATTCTTTATGGAATTCCAAATTAGAATTTTCGGTGATGACAGAAGGGAAACACGACCAATCTTACCATGTCAGAAAGTTTAGAATCTGAAAGCAACTTATCTTTTCATCTTCAAAATATGAAATCTGAAAGCAACTTATCTTTTCATCTTCGAAATATAAAATCTGAAAGCAACTTATCTTTTCATCTTC